AATGTTTGCTTAGGGCATTAAGGTTTTCAGGTAAGTCCCCTTTCTCTCCCTCTTCTTATTCTTTATTTCCTAGGTCCTCATGGTTGTATGGCAGCGAAGCATCAGTTCAAATGGCTGATGTACTGCTGTTGATGATGATGATGAATCGTTTGTTTGCTAACAATCCTTATTATCCGTTACCCGATTCCTGTGTTCGTGCATTTGCTTGCTATTTCGGTTGTAGCGCGAACCATTGTGTTCAACCTATGGCTCTGCTTCTACCCTGATTTTCATCTCATCTGGCGTGCTTTAACAGACGAACACATGTGTAGATTGGACAACAAGTTAACCTGTGCACCGTAGGTTCCCTCGATATCGACTTCTGCTGCCTTTCAGAAACCCGATTGCAAAACTGTAGCACTGTGCTTACGCTGTCTTACCCACCAACACGAAGCCAGATATCACCTGCGTATTTCTGGAGATTTGGAAGCAGTTTCAAAAGCTTTGGCTGGTGTAAGTTTGCCACTAAGTGGCAAGGCCGTGGCGGCACTACTGGACTGATTCCCAATTAACAGCCGATTGCGTGTAGTTCGTCTTCAGGGTTCATGCAGAATCAACAGGCGCCGCAAGGAAAGATGCAACTTGTTTGTTATCTCCGCGTACGCTCTAACTGACTGCATTAATGGCTCTGTCAAAGATGACTCTTTTCGGGAGCTTCATCAGCTCTTGAATAACGCTAAAATACCGAACGTTGTTATCCTTGCCGTGGATTTCAGTTCACGGTTGACCATCTGTTACCATACGAACGTCTTCCTGGTGGTAACCATGCGCTCGATGAGGACCACTCCCTGGAAGAAGCGAGAGAGTTTTCTCATTGTGCGAAGACAATCTGGTTCTCTCGAGCACCAGTTTTTAGCATAAGAATCAATGTTCCGTAACTTGGCGTGACTCTTCACCAGCACAAGCGTAGTCTTGTATTGAAGACATAGCGCTCAGCTTCAGACGGCGTAGCAGCGTAAGGGACTGCAGGTCTTTTTGGTCCACTTTCATTGACCCAGATCATGCGCTGGTGTGCGCGACAATCTGCATGAGTTTTGGGGTCCCCCACAAACGAAGCACCGCAAGATCGCTTCGAGCAGAATAACTGATTCCTCGGACCAGGTGAGCTGTTTGTCTTCATCAATGGACGCATACAGTTGCAATCCACCGCAAGACATTGAGCAACACTGGACTTGTTTACGGAAGGCGAGGATCACTGCAATTTAGCCCGACGCCTCAAAGGCTTGAATCTCTGCTCGCTTTCTGGAGCTGTTCGACTGAAACAGAGATATCCCTGCAGGATCAGGTTGTAACGAGCGGCAGTGCTCTGGCAACCGACTGTTCAAGCAAAGCCTGGGCAAGGATTGCAAGGCTTGATGGTCTGAGCGTACTTTGGAGATGGAGACCGCTGCTCTCTCTCTGGCAACACTAGCAAGCTTTTCTAGCTCATTTGGTCCACTGGCCTCAGGAAGCCTGGTATCAATGAGGTTATTTGTAAGGTGGACGGGAGCAAGTCCTGGCCAGTTCGTATGGAGGACATGCGCTGTCTCTCTGTCTTCGACAACGGTTCTTTGAGGTGCATCACTTGTGTGTGGTGGCAACACCAAGTTGCCGTCCTGGGGAACATGAGCATCCCTTGCACAAACTGGTTTTGCTGCACCATTTGAATGGCTTGGTCACGTCCTACACATGGCGCCTGAGCGCTTGCCTTACCGGGTCCTATTTTCTCGTGCACGATTGGACTGAAGGTGACCGTGTAGTCGTCAGCCTACCACTTGGCCACAGCACATAAAATCGTTGATGTCACATCTAGCCGCCGTCTGACCCATACCTTTTCCTGGTTGAGGATCCATGAATAAGGTGTGCCATTGGCTTGACATGCTTGTAGTCTTGGCCCGCAACTGAATCATTGGAAGAACTATGTGCGGAATTGTATTGATTCACATGTTTAATTTCTCGAACATTTAAAATGACAAAAATTTTAAAAATATCTGGTTGTAAAAAACAAACAAACTATTATTTGGTCGAATTGTACCTGGATTTTTATCGGCTACATATCCATTTCTTTGACTTTATTATATTTTATCTATGCGTATGCCCTGTCACTGCTTACCCAAAATGACCTCGTTTTGTTTCCCATATATTCGATGTCGAAAAGCTCGAGGTGGGCAAAAGTTAATTTGGCAACGGGAAATGAAGTCACCTACTACCAAATTTGGCAATGGTGATGCGTCTAGACGGTTACTAGGCGGTCTCAATCACGCCAGTTCCTTAGAGCGACGGATAACACTGAATAATTTGCATCGGCTTGGTCACGTACTACGTATGTCTGGGTCGACCCGGTGGCCGAGTGATCCGCGCTCCTGGTTGGCAACCATAAGGTCACCGGTTCGGATCCGCGTGGGGGTGCGCGTCTTCGCGGTATACTGGTGGTCGCGTAGCAACGAAACGCCTTTACGGCGTACAGCTGGCGATTTATTTATTATTGAATTTACGTATGCTTGGTCACCGCTTACCGCGGAGAACCTTTTTTGTGTGCCGGCTGTTGAGTAGTGCATGGCTCAAGGTGAACAAAAGTTGACTTGACAGCAAGCAATGAAGTCATTGACAACTAAACTGGGTGCCGTCGGTTCGTCTCGCCTTCCAGTCTGGAGTCCATGTGACTCACCTTGTACTTGATTTGTGATGTTACAGGACATGGCTCACAATCGGCACCAGTGGCCCGTCTGCTACCGCCTTGTAATCGGACTGCCTGTTTAGAGTGTGTTTGAGACTGACTTATCTGCGGGTTAATGGCTGATTTTGACGTGAGACAGTGAAAACCGCAAGGAAGCTTTCTCGTCGATACCGCCTTTGCACGATCGCCAGTTGTTTGTGAGTATGTTGGTAAAATGTATGTGCCTTGACCCTGAATCTTTGCATGGGACATTAAGTTTTACGCTAGATCACCCATATCTCCCTGTTGTTATTCTTCATTCCGTATGTCATTGTGGTTGTGCGACAGCGAAGCATCAGCTCAAACGGCTAAAGTACTGCTGAGTTGGATAGCGGAATGGTACACGACCGAGTCTTTAAATCGGCCGTTGCTTCTTCACTGAAACATCGTACCTACTTTACCTTTTGCGGATTTTTAGTTTATCTACTTATTTTTGACTTTTTCTTCAATTAGACTAATTAATCGATCGCTAATGCCGTCCTCCACCGACTTCTCGTAAATAGACTGGAATACTCCATATTATTATCGGAAGGTATTTTGTAACTCGAAGAACCTTCGTCCGGTTTGATAAAATGGTCTTTGGCACTATCCTGTGGTAGCAAATATTGGTACCTCCAAGTGTTTGAGCGTTGTATGCGCTCCGTGGAAACGACCTTAAAATTGCCGCGATGGGCAACCAATGATGTAGAGTAGGAACATGAAGAAGGCAACCTCAAGCCTAGCATTTGTTTGACCGGTCCGCCTTCCAGCATGGGAAGCACGTGACTCCGACTGCCAGAGGCTGAAGACGCTGAAGGTAATGGTGCGCAACTGACATTATTGGCGACAGCGCTGTTCGACCGCATATATATATATATATATATATATATATATATATATATATATATATATATATATATACCCGTCGCGAGTGCCTTAGTCAGGCAGGCCTAGTGAGCCATGAGAGAGGTCACTCGGGACCACTACAGAAGCGACGACGGGTCCTGCAGAGAAGGTAGACAGCATCGGCGCAGCGTTTGTAGGCACGCTACATTCGATTTACTAACCGCGTGCTTGCATGCTAAGTCTCTTTATTTCAGGTGGTGGGTTTTCAATTTTGCCTAAATGCTTTTCTTTCTCATATAAATATCTCCCTGTACTCTATTTCATTAACTTGCACACATCGCCTAAGCCAATTGTATTCGATTTCCATAACATTTTTGCGTTCGTGGCATTCCGTGAACTATACTTTCTGACCTCTTGCACTTAGCTAGGATTTGTGTGTAATCGGCTTATTACATATGCTATTTAATTAAGGTTTATATCACCGTTTCCTTATGCATTAATCGAGTTTTTCTCTTTTTCTTTGTCTCTTTCAAGTGTTTGGCTGTTGTTTGATATCCCATGTGTGGCTGCGCTTGATGTGCATGTTGACAAGGTGCCTACCTGTCTATTACCCACTACCTCGTTCTTACTGGCTCCAGTAGACAGTTGGTCGTTGCTGGAGGGGACAGGGTGCACGGTCCTTGTGGCCGTGTTAGGATCAAAGAGTGGTTCCATGCAGTCAGTGTGGAGCGGACTACGGTCCAGCCACCGCCTTGTGTGCGGTTGATTCCCCAAATACAGTGTGCTTGTGTTTGCCTGTGAAGGAGTGTGGGCCGGCTCCGTTGATGAAACGTGGCTCCCATCCGCATGCCTCCCGGTCTTATTCCTTCGGGTTTACACTGGATATGGGGTATGTGGTTGGAGCTGTGGGTGGTGCAGCGCAAGCCATCCATGGTCCCTCTGTAGGCGCAGGCGTCCTGTGGCTGGCCACAGTGACAGGCAAATCCGAAACCGGATGCCGCCAACCATATAAATATACCCACTGGGGTATATAATGCTTATATTGACCTGCGTTGAAAAATCCGCATACTTAATTTTACTGAAAGCGGGAACGGAATTAGTATCTGTCCTCAACTTGCAGAGGACTCCTGAGATATACATCATGTTTACCGCAACAGGACACAAACTGTTATCTGATACTTGATCAGACTCTATTCTTTCATGTTACTTTTTTCCACTATTATATGTTTTGTTTTACAGCCATTAACTGGCGCTGTAACTGAAAGTGCGACGTGGCCACCCCCTGACCTGTTACCTCATACCAGAATACCACAATGGCTATACGTGCTCCCATCATTCGCATTGCCTGTGTTCTGAACTCTCTCTCTGGTAGTCATCGAATTCTTGATTTGCTTTCTATATACTTGTGCTAATATAATCCGAGTTTTCTCCCATTTTTTAGACGCTGTTCCGTCCAGTTCATCCGCGTCCGCCGTAGCCATTCCAACCTCAGAAGAAATTCGGAACAAGCGTCAAATGTTTTTAGATCGACTTACTGGAGCACCGCACCAAATTTAAAGTGCTTATTTTTTGCCCCAACCCTCTTACTGTGATACCTCTAGCTGACAGAGCTATCTTATATGAGCCCATTGGATCTCGTTCATTGTTTTCTTTTATTGCAGATCTTATACCTACGAGAGCAATATTCATCCAACAAATAACTGTATGATAAGTGTATTTTTTTAATCTCGCGCGCATCCATCAAATCTTCACAGCAAATTCGGAAAGAGGTTATTGTTTCTGCCTAAATCATGAAAGGCAGGTCTATGTTGTATTCTCCCGTACCGACATAGATTGATCCGTATTTGTTTGTACCGGGCAGGTTATAGTGGACATATCCGGGCCACAGCAGGCTTTTGACCAGCACCAAACGGCTTCCACGTTCGAACTGAATGATCCAGCAACCTGAAACAAGCCAACAGTTCATTTTCACATATTGTATAACATGTTCATATCGCGTGGACATTGATAAATCATACCGTTGGCTATTGTAAAGGACGACTAAAAGCAATCTGACTTGGTGTACCTAATGAAAAAGGAACGAATGTTGCAAATTTTGAGGGTGTTTCATCATCCAGGATACATCTTAATTGCCTGTAAGTGTAAGATGTCCCATCCTTTTGCGCCCTCAAAGTTTCAGTTGTGCAGAGAATCCAAGAGTCCGTAGTCCCTAGGTTGTTGTCACATGCAAAGTGGGGGATTTTGGTGTTACTCTTCCATCACTGCATTCGATTTTGACCGGATCCTTAAGTTGTCAGTTACTAACGGTCGGTTTGTGTTAAGCAACCGCATATGTATTTTCCACATCAAAATTTTATCCTTACTCTTTCCTAAGGAATCTGACAATGCAGCTCCATTTAGGGGTGGTATTCTGGCTTCAGAACACAGACTGAATTTGTGCATCTGAAAACCAGCGACAATTCACAGAGAGAATGAGCTCGTTGCTGACACTGCACATCGCTGAAGTGGGTGAAAGCGATGTTATGAACCACTAAATGTCTACGTTCCGAATCATGTTTAACGTCTTGCTATTTTATAGCCTCTATCTACTTTCTCCTTCGGTTTTTCGGACTATATATTACTACTTGCGTATATCGCCGTATCGTCTCATTCAGCTTTCACGAAGTTATTCGTGATGCTGCTGAAAAGGGAAAGTTACCACCTCGTTGACTTGTGCTTAATCAACTGCATTTTGTTCGATTCCAGCACGTTTAGCCAATAATGTAGAAGCGCTGTGCGGTCACTCAACTCCTGTCAATACTATCTGAGTGTTATCCATTTGTACTAGCTCGCTGCGGTAGCCATTGTCCCGTCCCAGCCTAAGCCTTTCTTAGCTCGCTGTTGCTAACTAGGTTCGCTTCAAAAATGCCCTCACCCATAGCTCCGTGATACAAGTCACTGACCCGTAAGTGTAAGGTCTTAGGTTCGAATCCGGCAGGATTCGCCGGGTCCGAGCTGCAGGCGAGTCCCAGTAGGACGAAATAACCGTCTAGTGCCTTCCTGGATGCGTCTAGCTGCGACGAATTTTCACCAAAACCTATTACTCGTTAATATATATATATATATATATATATATATATATATATATATATATATATATATATATAGAGAGAGAGAGAGAGAGAGAGAGAGAGAGAGAGGCATATGTCGGTTTTCAAACTCCAATTTCCAAGACCAGGCTGGGTATCAAATAGCACGCGTCAAACAATCTTTGGTTGACAAATACCATGAAATGCACAGTCTCTGCCAAACTCAACCTCTCGAAAATACTTTTTGCTTTTGAATACTACAGCACCAATCACGGAAGCGTACATATGGCTGACAGGAAAGCTCTGGAAAACGTACAAAGATTATTCACTGGGCGTCTGTTCTGTAACTCGTCCACCTTGAGATATCAGAAGTGTCACCAGCAACCTAACCTCGAGACTCTTCGGATGCAGCGACTGAAACGACCTGATACTCACAAACCATCTCTCAAACAATAAGACATACTCCAATCTGTGCACATTAGAACTGCGACATAACTTCACCCGGAAACAAAGCTTGGAGATTAGCTGTGTTTAGAACCAGTACAGCTATTCGACCCAACTACTTTCTTACCGAATACGCTGTCGTGGGGATTGGCCTACTGGCCACGATCAGGTCTTGCATAAATACATGATCACTCCGCATTAAACTTGGAAATTTCCTAGATCAGCAATTAACGATGACCATGCTTTCAATGGGCAAATCACCAAGTGAGTTCTTCCAGGATAGACCAAGCGAAATGTAACCTGTGAGGAAAGATGTTACATAAAACTCAGTAACAATAGAAGTCGTGCTCCATAGTGCTATGATGACATGCACCAGAATACGTATCTCATGCATGAGCACAACCATTACTGCACTAGTGGTCTGTCCCTTGTGATGGGAGTATACACTCGAACGGACGTGCGGTGCCAGCCCAGCAAGGAAGCCGTTAAGCTGCCGCAAGGAAAGGCGGCAGTCGATTGGACGTTCACACGTTTCTTGCATGCACGCTGATTGGCCAACAGTTGGACTCATTGGAGTGAGTTTGTTTGACAGAATCAAAGGAAAAATGTCATGCATTCACAAAGGTCGTTAATTATGGATCCAACTAGCTGTATATACCGATATGTTTCACTCGCCCTCTGCCTGCGTTTTCGCCTGGTCCTGTTGTTTGCTGAATATACGTTTTGTCCCTGAAGGACCGACTTTTTACATCCCTAACTCAGAGACAGCCTCTCGCATAGTCGAGAAATATATGTATTATTATTGTGATGTACAAATCTTGGTAAAGAACCCTGGTCAAAATGTACGCCAATGAAAAATAACAGTTTCTTACGTTTCATGCACACCATTCTTTTTCATTTGGTTTTCCGATTGCATATTACTAGATGATAGAACAACCCTGATGTCTGTTGCGGGTCATCCTAACCATCGTTTCCATCCACTGAGAGTCAAAGTCGCGCGGCATGCAGCCTGGAGGGTCAAACTTCCTTATGTTCATTCCCCACCTCGGTGGTTTTCCACCGTTCCCAATGCCCAGTCGCTTCCGGGAAGCGCGAATAACACTCGGCATGGAAGGTGATAGGCTGTCATTTGTACTACCTGGCCAAGGCAACGCATGCTGTGTTGGCAAGCGACGTTTTAGAGGCAGGGACTGTTCGTTTCAGTCACTCGGTTATTGACTTCCTTATGCCTACAATGTTGCCATCAGACCCAGAAATCCTTCGCAGTCAATGGTTGTCAAAAATTGATAATCGCTTTATGTCTTCCATAACCGTACACGAAGCTCGTACGGACAGAAGCATTGCACACTCTGTTCTTTAGCTTGTGACTGACATCGCGACGGCATAAGTGGCTCATTTTGTTGAATGCAATCTGTATGAGACCTCATCTCCAACACCGCCACCAGACGTGAAGGAAGCGACTTGTTACAACATGTCAAGCATCAATGGTGAGGGCCGGCGCCTGTCACCTCGTCTTGGAACACTGCAGCCGAACCATTCGATGGAAATTCGCGACCCACTCAGCTGGCACCGCTGGAGGTTATTCGACAAGGAGCTTGAACGTCGATTGTTTACTTCCTGTGTCCATAATGCTGGACGCAGCTGATACATTGTCTATGAATCCCTACAGCATTATATGCCGGCCGTTGTACTGGTCTTAGAGGGACACGAATTGTTGCACCACGTTACTTTATCTCATCGTCACGACCGGGTGCTCCTCGATTTCGAAATCTTATTCTGCCTAATCGATCATACTTTGCTTGATAAATTTACTCAGAAAAGATTTCCCATGAAATGTTTGCACATCGCAAATGCCCCATACTCAACATAGGTCACGACAGAGTTTACGGCGTTACCGACCGGTTTTACAACAACTATAGGGCTAGCCATAGTTGTCACATTTCTTTCCCCCCTTTTACTGTGGAATCCGGCATTGAATATTTCCTTGCGTAGTCTCACCATGCAGCTATTAAACTGTTTCCTGGAGGAAGGTTCATTGATCCAAATTATGCCATTGGTATTTTGCCGTTTGGCAATCATGATGCGATGTTGTTAGACTTTGACAACTTCCCAATATTGCACCTGTTATTCGATATATATTTTGCACTTTTAACGTTCTAAATGTTGCCTCATATTCACCGGCCACTTGATAAACTTTTACTTCGCGACAAATTTGAATTGGATATTGTTAATAACAATGGTACGTGGCTGTTAAAGTTTTATATCTTGAACCTGTGACATCAATACCATTAGAGAAGCACTTTATCGGTTTGAAGGACCAAAGCAAGGGCTGTTCTTCTCTATGGGAGTAAAAATAAATCCATCCTAGAGATCTCAGTCGCTTACAGTTGTTTGACCGTCACCTGTTGAGCATTGCACCCGCTCCACTGCTATTGGGGCTTTGCACGCGTTCCTTGAGTTCGTGTAGGGGGCAACGAGACAAGTCCTCCAATTCCAGCTATACTCGTGCCAACTGATGCACTTGTTTAAAGTGATTCCAGCACCCTACTGGATTATTCTGATATTATTGATTGCAATTGCTTATATTGGAGGACGCAGGTCCGAAGGCAATTGTGACCCTCTTTCTGCCCAGTTGTGAATTACACTTCGGTTTTAAGCGGATACTTTGGCAAAACTGTCACACACGTGGTTAATCGGACCCACAAATGCTTTCCATAATAGTTGAACAGAGCGACTTGTTCGTTCAACGTGTCTGTTTGTTGCTGCTGATAAGATGTTTTCCTACCCTTGTTCATTCCAAATTTCGACACACCCTTCATTACTGAGCTTTTAAGGCAAAAGCATCCGTTTGAATGTAGTTATCCTGATGTCCCAATAACACATTCAGTTGTTTATAACCGCTATTGCCACAACCGTATCAATCCACGCAATCGGCACAGCCTTGCACCACTTGATTGCGTAATCCACTATGATCCAGATGAAGTGCTTCATGGTATCTCCAGTAACAGTCCCATGCTCATCACCATCTTCCCACACGCACTAGCTATTGGTGAGAAACACTTCAATTCTTGTGCCGCAATACGACTCAAGCAGAAGGCAAAAAATGTAGGGGAAAAGCGATAATAACCAAGCAAATCAAAATTCATTGTGTTTTGTTTTGCATTGATAACGGGATGGTCATTAGAGGGCTAGGCTAAGC